AATCGTCTATTGCCACCGACAGACAAAATCAGTGTCAGCCCCCCTTCCTGGCACACCCCCAGTTCGTAGGTTTTTCTTCCCACAAACATCTTATGGGTACACAATGGAGTAGGTTGAATTCTCTCTCCCAAGGAAACATATGTTGGGGGTCCTAGTCCCCAGTTCCTGGAAATGTGACCTTATTTGGGAATAGGGGGTTTGAGATTGAAGTTGCCATCACTAGGGTAGACCTTCGTCCGGTATGACTGCTAGCCTCACCGGCCTCACCGAAAGGAGCTCTGGACACAGACAGACGCAGATGCATGGGGAGAAGGCCATGTGGAGACAGAGGTAGAGATCAGAGTGCTGCTGACACCAGCCAAGGCATGTGTGGGGCTGCCAGGAGCTGGAAGAGGCCAGGAAGGATCCTTCCCTCCCTAGAGGTCTGCAGGGAGCATAGCCTGCTGACACGTGGTGTCTGGACTTCTAGCTTCCAGAACTGAGACAATAATGTCTGTTCTTTTAATCCATTGGGTTTGTGGCAGTTTGTTAGCAGTCCTGGGAAATGAACACTCACAGAGATCTGATTCCTGTGTCTAGACACTCACAGAGGCACAGCTAATGGTGTAAAGCCCTATTTCCTTTGTGCTCATTTCCAACCTCAACCATTATTGGCATTGCCCCCCAACCACCACCACCCATTTCTCACCAATGTGCTGACCTATGTCCTTTCTCTCTGAATATTTATATCAACAGGTTCACTGTGGTAAAAATAAGCTGCACCTTTAAAAGAAGCAGTTGACGTTTTTCATGTAGTTTGGGGAAATTTCTGGTGTTTCTCCCATTTTGGGGGTCTGGAAGGGAGGCTGCTAATGAAATAGTTTTCCTAATATGGGCCTTTTTGTTTAACAGAAAATACTGTGATGAGTCTGTTTGGATAAACACACTACTTTCTCCCTTCCCTGGGGAGGTAAAGTTAACATTGATAAAAGTAAATGTGAATGCATCAGACAGCTTGTAGTCAAACACATAAAGTTAAAACTATTACAAATGGAGATGAACTTAATCAAAATTCAGATATGGTGGGAGATGTTAATAAACTGTCAGACTTGGGGAGAGCTAATGATAAAAGTTGAGTTACACAGAATCCTTAAATACTATAATAAAGCACTTTAAATATCTTGAACAACAAATGCAAATTTTTCATATGTCTGTGGGATATTTACAGGATACTGACATACAGAAAGAGAATCTTAGGTAGAAGAGTAACAGTTTTATGGGCAGAGGTCTCTGATTATGATCCAATAAATTTGTGATAAATGTAAAGAGTTGGCCAAAAACTTAATTGCTAGGAAATAAACATTGCTGGATAATCACTGGATCAAGGAGAAAAAATCTAAAGAAAAATTTATAAACTCTCTAGAATATAATGGAAAGAAGATTACTATATATCAAAACCCACAAAACATATCAGAACTGTTCTCAGTGGAAGATTGTAGCCTTCAATGCCTTCACTGTAAAGAAGACAGAGTAAAACAACAACAACAACAAAAAACTAGTTCTATTCAAGAGACAGTTTGGCAATTTATTGGCAATAACCAAGAGAGTATAGAAGATGGAGTTAGTAAATATAACAGTCTTAATGAAATACAAAAGAAAACCATTAGAAAGGCCAAGTAAAACCAAAACCTTTGCTCTAAAGACAAAAGACAAACAATTTAGCCAAGCCCTTTGAGAGCCTTTCTAAGGAAAGGAGAGTGGACAAAAATACTTTAGATTAGGAATGAGACAAGAGATAAAATGACCACAGACAACAAAAATTAAAAGAATCATATGACTTTATTGCAGTATATTTGAAAACACGGCATGATTTGACACCTCATTGTCCATTCAGATCCTCTGCCCATTATAAATTCCTTAACTATTTTGGATATGAATCCTTTTACAGATATATATGGTATATAATATTTTCTCCAGTTCTCTAGGTGGCCTTTTCATTTCTGTTGATGGTTTCCTTTGCTGTGCAGGAGTTTTTAGTTTGGGGTTGTTCCACTTGCTCATTTTTGCTTTTGATGTCAAATCCAAAAAAAAAATCATTGCCAAGACTGATGTCAAGGAGTTTACCTCCTATGTTTTCCAGGAGTTTTGTGGTTTCAGGTCTTATGTTCAAGTCTTTAATCCATTTTGAGTTGATTTTTGTGCCTGGTATAAAACAGGGTCCAGTTTCATTATTTTGCATGTGACTGTCCAGTTTTCCCAGCACAACTTCTTGAAGAGGCTGTCTTTTCCCCATTGTGTATTTTTGGCTCCATTGTCAATTAATTGACCAAAAATGTATCGATTTATTTTTGGGCTTTCTATTCCACTCCCTGGATCTGTTTGTCTGTTTACATGACAATGCCATGCTGTTTTTGATTACTATAATTTTGTAGTGTAGCTTGAAATTCAGAAGTATGATGCTTGCTGCTTCGTTCTTCTTAAAATTGCTTTGGCCATTTGGGGCCTTTTGTGGTTACAGGCCAACTTTAGGATTGTTTTTATGTTTCTGTAAAAAACGCCATTGGAATTTTGATAGGGATTGCATTGAATCTGTAGGCTGCTTTGTGTAATATGGACATTTTAACAATATTCATTCTTCCAATGGATGCGTGTAGGTATCTTTCCATCTGTGTCCTATTATGATTCTTTGTATTTCTGTGGATTCAGTTGTAAAGTCCCCTCTTATATTTCTGACTTCTGTATTCATATATTTGAATTCTCTTTTTTTCTTACGAGTCCAATTAAACATTTCTGTATTTTGCATTATCTGTGTATATTGTGTTCACACTTTTGGGTATTTTGTTTCTTTTCTAAAAACAGCTCTTAGCCTTGCTGATGTTTTCTCTTGTCTTAAAAATTGCTTTGGCCATTTGGGGCCTTTTGTGGTTACAGGCCAACTTTAGGATTGTTTTTATGTTTCTGTAAAAAACGCCATTGGAATTTTGATAGGGATTGCATTGAATCTGTAGGCTGCTTTGTGTAATATGGACATTTTAACAATATTCATTCTTCCAATGGATGCGTGTAGGTATCTTTCCATCTGTGTCCTATTATGATTCTTTGTATTTCTGTGGATTCAGTTGTAAAGTCCCCTCTTATATTTCTGACTTCTGTATTCATATATTTGAATTCTCTTTTTTTCTTACGAGTCCAATTAAACATTTCTGTATTTTGCATTATCTGTGTATATTGTGTTCACACTTTTGGGTATTTTGTTTCTTTTCTAAAAACAGCTCTTAGCCTTGCTGATGTTTTCTCTTGTCTTATGAGTCATCGCTATTATCTAATGAGACATCTGTGGCCACTGGGATAGTGGCACTGTGAGTACAGGTGTACAAAAGGGGACGTTTCAAGTACATCTATTGACATTATTGTGTGTGCTCTGTGGAAATCACCCTGGAAGCCCACTGCTTAAACTTTTGAAACTCAGAATCCCTTTCTTGGCTATAGCATCCTTCCAATGAGACAATGTTTATTGTTTTCATTTGTACTAATAGCTTTTGCTAGAACAATTTTAGATTTACAGGAAAATCGAGAGTAGTATAGAGTTCTTATCCACTCCCATGCTTACACTTTCTCTATTTTAAGATCTTACAATAGTATTGTCCCTTTGTGACAACTAATGAACCAATACTGATACATTATTATTGATGAGAGCCCATAGTTGACAGATTCCCTTGATTTTCCTCTATTTTTTTTCTGCCCTGGGGTCCCATACAGGATTCCAAATCACAGGTAATCGTCGCATCTCCTTGGGTGCCTCTTGGCTGTGAGAGTTTCTCAGGCTTTCCTTGCTTTTGATGCGTCTGAAAGTTCCAAAGAGGACCGGTCTGGTGCTATGTAGGACATGCCCCTCTTGGGGTCTGTCTTTTTTCTTTCTCACTGGTAGACTGGGGGGAGGGGGGTTTCGGGAGGAAGACCACGGAGGTGAAGCGACCTTGTTCGGCCCCATCACGGATGCACACTCTCAGCACAGCGCCCCCTGCCGCATCCTGACCTTGCTCCCCAGCTGAGGTGTGCGCGTCAGCTGTCTCCACTCCAAAGCTACCCGGCCCCGCACCTTCCGCGCTGTTCTCTTGGGAAGGAAGTCACTCGGAGCAGCCCACACTGTGGGAGATGTGCTTCCTTCTTTTAAATGGACGATCTATATGACTTACTTGGAATTCATCTGCACTGGAAGTTACCCCTTCTCCCTCACATGCGAATGTATTCCATCACCTATTTGTAGCAGTACGGACTTACGGATATTTATTTTATACTTTGGCTTATAAACCAATGCTACTTTACTTCATTGCCCCAGTTGTTCCAGTTTTGGCCATCGGGGGCTCTGTCAGGGGGCTTCTGTACCCCTTTGCATACACACACACACCACTATGGTTTTCCTTGATTTTTTTTTTTAGTGCTTTCTTATTTCTGCCACTTACACCACGCTCTGGGCTCATCATGCGTCTCTCTTGCCCCACCCCTAGGATCAGCCATTTCCCCGAGGAGCCCTGGTGTCCTTTGAAGGAGAATGGCATTAGAACAGCTGGAGGGCAGAGATGCGGAGGGCAAGGTGCAGGGGAAGGGTGTGCAGCCCCCGTGTCCTCTGGGGTGCCACTGTCCCCGAATGTCCGTGTGCTCACCAACCCGGAAGCCCTTTGAACCTTGGTCTTCGGGTGTTTACGGAGGCTTTGTTACACAGGTGTGACTGATCACGTCAATGGCCAGCGGTGACTGACTGACCCCAGTTCCTCTCCCCTTCCCTGAGGTTGGGGGTGGGATGGAACTAAAAGTTCCAACCCTCTACACTCCGCTGTTGTGTCCCCAGGCACCCACCCTCACCCCTGGGTGGCCTAGGGCCTTTTCCAAACTAACCTCCTTACCCTAACAAAACACATCTTTCTAGGTCTCACTACTGAGGAGATTCAAGGGTTTGGGGAGCTCTGTGTCAGACACGGGGACAAAAACTAAATGTAGATGTCTTACTATAAATCACAGTATCACAGAAGCACACCAAGGAAAAAAGGACTTTATACGAAAAAGGAAACATGCTCTCCCAACACATCTGAGCCAGGAGGTGCAACGGTCATGGGTGTACCCACTGAACCCCAAAAAAGGTCTCATCGGCGTTTCGGGAGGGCAGCAGAGGCAGGCTGAGGTTGGTGCAGAGGGTGTCCCCGCGGAGCAGGGGAGTCAGGCGTTGGGAGGCCACGGCGCACCGTTGCTGAAAGCCGAGTCGAAGCAAGCTGACGCTTCGGGCGGCAGGGGAGCAGATGCCCACGGCCAGGCTGGCCCCTCGGGGTCTGGCGGTCCGGGCGGAGGAGGAGCAGTTGGTCAGCGTCACCTGGATGTGCAGTCTATAGATGCCATTGCGCTGGACACGCAGCTGCCCCTTGTGGAGCTCCGGTCCGTGCATGAACGAGCGGCCCAGGGCGGGGCCCCCCTGCCAGTGCAGCCTGGAGTCCTGCCTCCGTCCTGGGGGCAGAGAGGCGGGGGAGGGGTGGAAGGGTGGCCATTTAGGGTGACAGTGCTATAGACAGAAAGTCCCAAATTCCTGTTGAAACCCAACCCCCAAGGTGATGGGATTAGGAGGTGGGACCTTTGGGAGGTGATAGGGACACAAAGGTGGAGCCCTTGAGAATGGGCTGCGCGTCCTCATTAAGAAAACTCCATGTCCATCAACGGATGAAGGATAAAAGATGATGGAGTATGTACACCAGGGACTATTATTCAACCACAAAAACCGAGGTGATCTTGCCCTTTGTGACAATATTCGTGGACCTCAAGGACATTATGTTAATTAGATAAGTCAGAGAAAGATAAATACCCAATGATCTCACTTACATGTACAAGGGGGGAAAAAAAGACAGAACTCAGAGACACAAACAGGTCTGTGAGTGTCAGAGGGAGAGGGTAAGGGAATGGGGGAGGGGGTCAAAAGGTACCAATTTCTAGTTACTAAAAAAGATTAAGTCCTGGGCATGTCAGGTACACCATGGTGACTATAGTTAATCCTACTAGAAATTCCCTGAGAGGGTAGATAGTACGAGTTCTCATCACAAGGAAAAAAAAAATTGCAATTATGGGTGGTGATAGATGCCAGTAACTCAACTTTCTGAGATCACTTCATGATAGACACTCGTCCTGTCGTGACGTCATACCCCTGAAACTAATCCAGTGTTACCTTTCGATTATATCTGACTTCAAAAAAGAAAGGGGGAGGTGGTGTGACCTCACCCCCGGCTCTCTGCCCCCTTCCTCTACAGGAGGACACAGCGAGGTCCCCTCTGTGAGTCAGGAAGACACCCAATCAACAGTCATATTCTTTTGAGCAGCTTGAACAGAAAAGCGCTGGAGATAAAAGAGGAACAAAGATTCCCTCTGTCACAAAATGGAATGGACACAGCCCTCAGACCTCCCGGGACGGCTGCAGGAGACCCGGAGAGGAAGAGAGAAGCAGAGACAAATGCTGGGAGGGGGGAAGGTCTTCCCACACATCACCCGGGGGCTCTCCTGCCACCTTCTCCGGGGTGCCCTCCTCCCTGACGACCCCACCTGCAGCTGGCGAAGCTGGCCCTGGCGTGCCCGGCCTCCGTCCCCTGCTCAATTTCTCTTGACACAGACCATCTGCGTGGAGGGCTACCTTCTTTCTTGTTCATCTATTTCTTTCTGGTAGAAGAGAAACCCAGCCAGGACAGAAGGTTTCGTCTCTGCTCTCTTAAGACTGGGGCACCTACGAGGTGCCTGGCTCGCAGTAGCTGCTCAGTTACCATTTGTGGAATGAATGAAGGCATGTTGGCAATACCTAATGGCGCTGTTTCCCGCTCTCCCAAGGGAGAAAAATCAAAGGTGGAGGCCGGGAGCGAGGGAGGTGGTCAACACGCAGAGACACACTGACCCGGAAATGGAAACCCTCTCTCCCCGTCTCCATCTTTCTCATTCTCTATTTCTTTCTCTCTCTCAATTTCTCTTTCTTTCTCTATTTGTTTCTCTTTCTCATTGTCTCCTTTTGTCCCACAAATGCTGTGCTGGACACTCTCTCTCTCTTTCTCTCGATTTCTCTTTCTCTCTCTCGCACACCCACATGCACGCCTGTTACCTGTGTGGTTCAGCTGGAGCTCAGCTATGTCCCCCTGGAAGAAAACAGGGCCGGACGTAAGCACCGAGGGGTTAAGGCCCCCTAGAACTCTCTTTTCTCGACTCTCCGCTCATCCCACTGGGCTCACTTGAGGCTTTTTTAGAACAGCCCTCTTAAAGAGGAAGTAGGTTGAAGCAGCCTTTGCACATCTGCCCCTCTGGGCTGCAAAGCCCCCTGCGCTGCCCCTCCGAGGGGGTCCGAGGGGCCGCGGTGCAGGGCCCCCAGGTGAGCGTCCAGGCCCTGGAGGCTCGGGAACGCCCCTCTCCCCCAGCTTCGTGAAGCCCCCGGTCGCCTCTGAGTCAGCCAGCTGGGGGAACACCCAAAGCAAGCCGTTTTCCACGGCCTCATCGCATGTACCTTTCCCAGGCCTGCCCCCACCCCGGGATCCCCACCCGGGACTTACCTCCCCGTCCAGAACGGACTGCGCTTGCAGCCCAGACGCCCGGGGCAAACTCTCTGACTTATCTCCCTCCTCGGGTCTCTCACCTCGCCCTGTCTCTTCCCAGCCAGATCTACCTTCCTAGCTCTGCTTTTTAGATTTTTTAAAAATCCATCTCATTTTGTTTTTGTCTCTCTCTTTTTTTTTTTGGCCCTTTGTCTGGCCTCTGCGCTCTAGCTCACGTCCTCTCCGGCCCCTGCACCCCTCCCCCCCGGGTCCCCAGGCTCCGCAGCCAGGTGGCAGGTGTGCAGCCCCGGACTCACCCCAGGTGACTCGCGCTGCCGCCGCTGCTGAGCCAGGTGCTGGCTGCAGAGGAAGCAATATACCAGCACGGCGACGAGAACGAGCGGCAGAGCGACGCGCAGGATGGGCGCCCACGGCAGGCGGGGCACCTGGCAGCCAGAGCCCTCCTCCGCCATCGGGGCCCTCGGGCGGCGCTGCATCGGCCCTGCGCGCACAGGGCGACCAGGAAGAAAAAAGGAAATTAGTTCTTAAGCAGCTCTGGGGCCTCACTGCTTGCCTGAACCTGCCAGGGACCGCCCTACCCAACTCGGGGGATGTCCGGCGAAGGGATGTAGGCTGTTCACGATGCGGGGAAATCCCCTCCATTGCCTGTAGTCCCCAGCTCCCAGAAGGGGTGGGCCAGGAACCGACCGGCCCACCCTTCCTCTCCGTCTTACTATTGGCTCTCCACCCTCACCTTCCTGCTACCCGTTCATTCAGTCATTCAACAAACCTTCATTGACCCTCTCTTATGGACCAAACACTGTACCGGACACTAGGGTTACACCAAGCAGTGAGGGATGGGAGAGTTCCCTTAATATCCGTGTGAGTCTCTCCATTTTCCCAGCACCTCCTCCAGCACTTGGTGGGGCCACACCTAGTGGGAGCCACATGACTGACCTGCCCAATAGGAAGAGGAGAAGCAGAGGACTGGTCATTGCATAGCCTGCTCTTAGGAACACCGTATGTTACCCTTCTTGACCCCTGTGCACTGGGAAGCCACCCGTTCTTAATGGCTGTAGTGGGCTGTGGTGGGGTGCCCTCACCCCAACTCGAGTCTGCCCAGAATTTCAGTATGTGATCTCACTTGGCCATAGGGTCTTTGCAGTGTAATTAGGTCAGGACGAGGTCATCCTGCATTAGGGTGGGCCCTACAGCCAAGGACTGGTGTCCTTATAAGGAAAGGAGAGGAGGGTCGCAGACACACAGAGGATGGCCATGGGAAGGAGGCAGGCATTGCAGGGCCGCATCTACCAGCCAAGGGATGCCCAGGATCGCCAGCGAGCGCAGAAGCTGGGAAGAGGCAAGGATGGATCTTCCCCTAAAGCCTTTGGAGGTAGCATGGCCCTGCGCACCCCATGATTTCAGACTCCTGGCCTCTCCGAGTGTAAGGGAATAAATGGCTGCTGTTTTAAGCCACCCAGCTGGTGAAACTTTGTGATGGCATCCCCAGGAGACCGGGAACAATGGTGTAGTGCAAGATGCAAAAGGACCACTTGGACCTCTTAGGATGGGGACAACACGAGTTAGTAACTGTGAATCAAACCACTTGCCATGCTAACCAGGAAAGCGGCTGTAGCTGTGATCGACAGGTGCATATGCTGTACCCTAAGAGGCTTCACCTGTAGACACTGAACTTTAGACATTTCATCCCCAAACGAGGAGTCACAGTGGCCTGGACTGGGGGCTGGGTACCAGATAGATTTTGGAGCTTGAGCCAAGTGCATTGGCTGATACGGACCCAGGCCCAAGGAAGAGGGGAATCAAAGATGTCCGGAAGCCTTGGGGTCCAGCATATACTGCCTGGGACCCCCAACCTCTAAAGGAATTCCCCCCACTAAAGCCCTAGGATTCCAGGTCTGGGATTCAGCTGGAAGAACCCCTAAAGAGACCTCCCCTCTCCAGCTCTCCTGGGCATGTGGTATAAACCTAGGAATTTTCCCCAGCCTTCTGTCTGACCGTATGACACCCCCACTGCTCTGTGGGGTGATCTCACCGAAATCCATTCATAGTAAAACTAATTGCCACTCAGGGTGGGTAAGCATGTGGAATCTGGAGTTGCTAAGCAGACCTGAATTCCAGTCTCCGTAACGTCACGTTTCAGCCTTGAGGTTTGGGGAAACACCGCCCAGCTTTTACGTTCAATGTTTCCATCTATAAAGTGAGCTGTGATGAAGTTTACAGGAAAGCCTGAAGGGCGAGGGCTTGCTTCGCAAAACTGAACATTATGAACACACAGCAGGGATCAGTAAAGGCCATCTGTCAATTTTGTCATTTTCCCCCCAGAAAATGCTCGTTATGAGAATGCAGAAAAGGAATCCAAGGGGCTTATAAACACAGGAAAAGGACGTTAGCCTCTCTTGGCAATAAAATGCCTATTACATCGATCACTCCTAACAGAAAAGATTAAGAGATGGTTGAGGCCAAAGTAATTCCAGCTGCATCAAAGATTTAAGTGAAAAAAAACACAAAACACCCAAACCATGGAAGTGCTCAAAGTATGGTAAATTCATGAGCACGCACCTCGATACAGTAAAGACTTTTTAAAGTTAAAAAAATGTGTCTAAGACAGTGACTGTAATGGGGTATGTGGGGGGGACTTGATAATAGAGGGAGTCTAGTAACCATAATGTTGTTCATGTAATTGTACGTTGACGATACCAAAAAAATCCAATGTGTCTAAGAAAGTGTTTGAATGTTAAAAAGATACTAAGACATAAAAGAGAACATTGATATCATTCACCTATAAATGAATAATTCATTAAAAATACAATCAAATTTTTAAAAAGCCTGGTTTCCTTAAGATATAAATAACTTAGAAGTGAAATCATTAAAAAATTGCTCTAGAAAGATAAAAGGAATATGAGCTGCCGGGTTATAAACATAAACACAGATGTCTTTGAAACAGTCTCCTGATTGTCTCTTAATTAACATTGTGATATTCCCTTAATTACTTAATATTATAATTAAGAGAGAGCCTCTTAATTATTTCTCTTTATGTTGGAAATCAAAAGCACAAGAAATACACCCTTTCTTTTTTTCACCCATGGTCTGGTGCAAGATCAAAGCTTTTGATGAGTGGCCACATGGCAAGTGTGTGAGTGGGTGAGGGTCATTCTCATACCCGGATGCTGACATTTGAGTTGGATCCAACCGTTTGGGAGGACAGTTCAGCACAATCAATCCAGATACCCAAATGCACGTCTTCTGCTCAGCAATTATACTTGAAGGCTATTATTTCATAAACACACTGGCACACATCATGCACACAGATGTACACATGTAAATTCAACGTGGTGTGTGATCTGTAGTAATGAAGAGGGGAAAACCAGCCCCGAGACCCATTCATTTTTGAGGGCTCTGCCCCACGCTGGTGTCACCTTTGAAACTTTGAAGCTTCGCATGTGAGCCACACTACTGATTTCATTTTCCACAGCAGCAGACTTAGAGAGGGCCATCAGTGTAATCCATGCAGCAAACAGGTTGGGGGAGGAGGATGTGCCTAGATTTGCATCCCATGCCTGGGTTTTCCCAAAGCTCTGGATTACTGGGCTGGGGACACGGAGGGGGGCTCCGTCAATCAATGGTTCTCCCAACCGTGCAGCTCTGCTGCGATGGTGTAGGACGTCAGAGGAAGTTCTGACACCAAGAGCTTCCCCCAACTTCGTGCAAGAGGCTGCAGAGAGCAGACGTGATGGGCTCCCTGCCCCTTGCCAGCTAGCTTTCTCCTCCTTACTTTCTTCTCTTCTGAGAGGTCAGGGGAGTCTGGGCACAGCAGGGGAGAGAATTGAGGGAAGTGGACCCCTGGGGTGGGGAATCTGGATGCAGGAAATAAGATCACTTTATTCCATAGCTTTGTCTTTTCCAGAATTTCAGAGTTGGAATCATATACAGTACGTAGCATTTCCAGACTGGCTTTTTCACTTAGCGATAGGTATTTACATCTCCTCCATGTCTCTGTGGCTTGAAAGTTCATTTCTTTTCAGGGCTGAATAAAATTCCATTGTCTGGATATCCCCCAGTTTGTTTATCCATTGACCTACTGAGCCAAGGTTTATCATAGTCGTCCATGTTTTGACGATTGTGAATAAAACTGCTATGAACATCTGCAGGCTGGTTTCTCTGTGGACATTAAGTCTTCAACTCGTTTTGATAAATACCAAGGAGTGCGGCCACTGATCACATTGTGAGAGTATGTTTAGTTTTGTAAGAAACTGCCAAATGGTTTATCTTTAATCAAGGTATAATTTATATGCAATAAAATCCACCTATTTTAAGTATATAGTATAATGAGTTTTATCAAATACATAAGGTCGTGTAACTCTACCACCGTCAAGATCTAGAACGTGGCTGACGCCCTAAAAAGTCGCCTCCTGCCCCTTTTGTAACTGTCCTCCCTGAGCCATCCCCAGGCTGCCACTGCTCTAGCTTTTGGTGCTATCGTTTTGCCTTTTCTAGAATTTCATATAAATGGAATCATGCAGTATGTTTAATCTTTTGTGCTTGATCCACTCCTCGTTAGCATAATGATTTTGATTCACTCATAATGTTACACATGTCAATAGTCTGAGCCTTTTCCTAGGTGAATAGTATTCCAAAGTGCCGATATACTTCCATTTCTGGGTATATCCATCAGTTGATGGGTGTTTGGGTTGTTTCCAGTTTGGGACTATTACAAATTCTATGAACATTACGTACACATCTCTATGTGGACATACGTTATTATTTCTCGTGGGTAAATTCCTCAGAGTGGGATCGTAGGTCACGTGGTAAGGTATGCTCAGCTTTGTAAAAAACTGCCAACTGTTTCCCCAAATGTCTGTCCCATATTTGTAATCAATCCCACCAGCAGGGTATAAGAGTTCCAGTTTCCCCACATCCTCAACAATACTTGGTATGCCTAGTCATTTTAATTTTAGGTGATTTTACTGTTTTATCATTCTAGTAGCTATTTGTGATCATTTTGATTTGCACTTGCCTAATGACTAGGGCTATTGAGCACCTTTTTCTGTGCTCATTTGCTGTCTGTATCTTCTCTGAGGACATATCTGTCCAAATTTTTTGACATTTTTTTTTTCACAGAGGTGTTGTCTTCTAATTATTGAGTTGTATGAATTCTTTACATATGCTGGGTACAAATCCCTTTTTGGAGCATGACAGTAAATATATACATATTTCTTCCTACCCTGTGATTGCTTTTTCACTTAATTGTGCATTTAGAAGAGCAAATGGTTTTAATTTTTGTGTGATGCTCTTATGGTTCATGCTTCCAGTGTCTTGGTTAGGAAAGCTTTACTTAATCCCTTACCTGTGCAACTCTTCTTGGAGATTATCATCCTGAGATGCCTATTATTCAATGTCTTAAAAATAATCTTTTTATATGGCTTGGGCAGTTTTTGGTTGTTTAAGGCCGAGAGGTGAATCTGGTCCCTGTTACTCTATTATGGCCAGAAGGAGAAATGCCTACTTTTAGTCTGAAAACCCCAGCCTTTTATTTCATTTCATCCTC